TTCTGGAATCTTCTCCAGATTGGGTTGGTCAGCTCTGCTTTCTTCCTTTACCTCCCATTTTTAAAAATGTGAAGAAAGACTACAGAATTGGCTGACTAAATGCAGGTTGGCTTAGAGAATGGGGGTCAGCTGGGTGAGGAGACCTTTCCAGATCCCAGAAGAGGCTGGTGCCCAAGCAGAATGGGCTGACTGATTTCCACATTTATGGCTGTGTCTACTTGATGTCAATACAACTTGTTATAAAGTTAAAAAGTAATTGATCATATAAATGTTGATTTGAAGATGTTGAAGCCTTAGTTCTCTTTCTGCCAGTAACTACATGTACAACCTTGGGTTTCTTCCCTTTGCTGAGCCTCAGTTTCCCTATCCACAAAATGAGGGGTTTGCATGAGATCTGACTTCTTCAGTGGCAGTCTGTAGACGGGATTCCTGGATCACCGAAAACTCCAGATCTTGTGTTTGTGCGTTTTAATGGAGAGAGGACCCCATGGCTTTGATCAGATTCTTAAAGGGGTCTGTGGCGCTAAAAAGTGTAACCTCAGGTGTTATTGAAAATCATACTCAAGTCTAGCCTCGCAACTCTGCCTGTGCTGCTAACTAACCATTTCCAGAGGGTTTTTCACTGAACGAGTGAAAGAGATCAACCTGCTCTTTTGGTATGGTATAGATACTGCTGATGAGTGATACCATTAAAGGAAAGTAACCTTCTTAAGCAACTGTGAAAGAGTGGAAAAAGATCAATGGCAAAGAAAAGGGTAAAGCCATGGAAAGGCTTCCTGGCAACAGGCAGCAGCAGCTTTGTAAATGTACCACTGTCCACGGGCTGCAGCAACTGGGCTTTATCAGTATACTTAGAACTGATCAGATTTAAAGTGATGGATACTCACTAAGTCAATGCACATGAGACTGACGGATACACTGGAATGCCGATGTGATTATTTACAAGGGAGAACTCCTGCCTGTGCCCCTTTCCTAGGCATTGAGCTGCATTATTAATCAGTAGGTTGTTGAGTAAGGATTCAATGCAAAAGGATGCAGATAGTTTGGAGGAATATTTCTTTTGGGTCTGGGTGAGGTCCCAATGTGCCAACATCGTTGACTATGTTTCTGAAAGAAGCTGGTGGACTTTCTGCCTGCTCCTACTCAGTGTTGATTATTTGGTTTGCCTATTAGTGGGCATGTTTGTTTCCAAGTCCTTTGGGGGCAAGATTCACTTTGCCCTCAGGTACTGCATAAAAATGCCAATTATTTTTGTTACTGAAAATATTCTCAAGGATCATCCTGTGCAAACCCAGTTAAGAGATACAGGCATGCTTTTCTATTCACAACCCCCTTTGGATTGTTGACCCCCGGTAGAAGCAACTTGAGTATCTAACCTCATCTAACACAACAATACACGTCATTATTCTTGAGTTTCTGTTAACTATTTCAATGAAACTGAGGCTTTTGTTAAATACACTTATTATCAGTTGTTCTCATTATAAGAGCCTGTAGCTATAAGAAGTGTCTTTTCTCGTACTTAGCATCCTCTCTATTTCCCAAGAAAGGAGACTACTCATTCCTCTACTAACTAGTCAGAGGAGCAAATCTCTTACCCGTTTGGGGATAATCATATTTACCCTATGCATTGCATATAGGCATGTTGAGATCATCAGGACGCTCCTGCAGAAACTTGCCCACCTGAGCACGCATTTTGTAAATTAAATCATCAGTTTTCATGGAGTTCTAAATATTCTGCCTTGCAGAGAGAGATGCAATGTATGCTGTAAGTGTACCTCTTAGATGTAGAAAAGCATGCATTTACACAAAATAGTCAAGACACTTTCACTGTTCAAGACGATCTCACCAATTTCTCTTCTGGAATACCTATATTATGATTTGACTTAGGAGAAATTATTTACCCAGAGCTTGTCAGAAACATATACACTGTATAAAGTGGAACCCTGAGTTGGAATTCATGCTGCCTCTTTCTTGGGATGCTAGTGATGCAAAATCGGAGGCAGAAAATTTCAGTAACTCCATCCTGCAGAATAAGATGCTAACTACAGTAAGACTCCTCAACCTCTTATTTCCACGCAGTTACCCACAGTTTTATCTATGCCTAGCAGAAAGTACAGACAGGAAACAGGTGAGGCTTTCTGTCTTGGATCCTTACTCCTGTTTGGCCTTGTTTTCCACCCTTGATGGTAGACCTGCTCCAGCTCCTGAGGTCATTGCTTCCAGGTACTCTCTCACTTCTCTATAAACACCGGTGCCCTAGAAAAATGGCTACACTTATTTAGACTTATCTAAGGTGTAAATGATTGACCATGGTTTGATATGTGACCTATCCTATATGGTATTTGCATTCTAAAAGAAAGTACCAGAGGAATACGTTTCTGGTTCAAGAATTTCAGACCATAGCAAAATGGTAGATCAAGTTTTGGGCAGTGGTAGTGGGGGAAAGGAGCATGCTTCTTGGGTCCCAAGAAAGCATACCCCATTAAATCAGACTTTGTGTCGTATTTCTAGGCCTGAATTCTCTGTGCTTGTTTCTAACTGTGCAATTGATATAAATAACATAATGGTTACTGCCACTCCTTTGAGATCAAGAATGCATTAATCTGTGGGGTTGTTTTATAGTAATCAAGTGATAAAACCTCTCTGAGGTTGGTGTGCGTATAGAAGGCTTTTGTAGTTGATTAGCAGGGGAGTGAAGCTGAAGGGTTTAACCCACCACCGAAGTCGTTAGGTTCGAGTTTCCCCAGTACCAAATTTGCTCTTCTGTAAGGATGGAAGGAAGGCAGGAAGGGAGGAAGGAAAGAACGGAGAGTTCCATCCGTTGACAAGCAGCACCTGTGCCTTTCCAGTTTCACTGATGGTTGGAGAAGATCTGTCCTCACATTTCTCAATCTCATTGCCAGGCCGTGCTGCGAGCTGACCTCATGTGAAGGCCTGGACTCCGCTGGGGAGGGTGATGTTAACGAAGAGGCCAAGGTCAGATTCCTGTGGGGGTGGAGCCAGAGGGCATTGTCCCCAGTCAGAGATGCTGAATGCTCTCCCTCAGTCGTACCGTAATCACTGGTCCCAGGGTGACAAGGAGGAGAGAATATGGGTCTATCTATATAGTCCATCCCAATGTCGGGAAGCAATCCAAAGGTAAAGTCTATTGTAGGGTTGTAGTGCTGTCATCCCGTGTATAAAGAGCAGCACCTTCCTCCCTCGTTCACTCACTCACCAAAGATTTACTGTAACTCAGTCTGTTCTCTGGGCTTGGTGCTGAGGGAAGTACTGAGGTTGATGAAACAGATTTCTGACCTCAAAGAGCTTACAATGGGGGAAAACACCTCTCTACTGTTTTCTATAGTGGCTGCCCCAATTTACATTCTCACAAGCAGTGCACAAGGGTTCCCTTTGCTCCACATCCTTTTCAACCCCTGTTATCTCTTGTTTGTTTTTCTTTTTTTCATAATAGCCATCCTAACAAGTATGAGGCAGTGACTCATTGTGATTCTGATTTGGGTTTCCCTGATGATCAGAGATGTGGAGCACCTTTTTATGTACCTTTGTGTCTTCTTTGGAGAGATGTCTATTCAGTTCCTTTGCCCATTTTTAAACAGGGCTATTTGGTTTTTGGCTGTTGAGTTGTAGGACTTCCTTATAGGTTTTACATGTCAATCATCCTCAATAAAGTAGTTTTAAAAAAGTTGGGCAGTGTCTAGAAAACTAGTATTTAGAGTACTTTGTCATGTTTGTTTTATCAAGTGAACATAGAGGACTAATTCTGGGGGGAACCTTAGAAGGCTTTTAGAGGAGACGTCTGTTGAGTTGGATCTTGAAAAATGGGTAGGAGTTAGCCAGGTGGATGGGTGGAAGACTAGGACACTCCAGCTGGAAGAAACACCACCATATACAGAAATACTGGGAGCAGAATGGCAACGGCTCATGGTTTTCTGTGGCTAGAGAGTAGGGTGATGGGGAAAGTGGAGTGGTAGGAGATTAGACTGAAGAGGAAGGTAGGGGCCTTCTGGGCCATGCAAAGAACTTTGGAATATATCTTTTAGGCAATAGGGATCCTTCAAATATTTTTTATCTGGAAAAATGTTTAATTTGTGATCAAATTAAATTTTTAGAAAGAGCCTTATGCCAGCACTATGGACAGCAGGTTGGAGACAGAATTGGTAGCATGACCAAGTAGGGAGGCTGACGTCATGGTCCAGGTGAGAGATGAGGGGATCCAAACTCAGGTACTTGCAGTGAGTATGGAGGGCAGGGGACAGTGTTAGGAGATACTTAGTACAATCGAGTAACCCAATTGGCTATAGATGGGCGCATATCATGGGAGAAAAAGTAGAAAGAGACTCAAAAAAGGAAACAGAATTTGTTGAGGATATTTTTCTCAAAGAGAGAGGAACTTGTGAAATAAAGGGTTTGTATGAAGTATTCTAGATTGTTTCCCCATCTCTGAATTTCTACAACACTTTGATTTGGAACCATGCAACTGAGCATTGAATTCTACTTTCCACTGGCCTGGACAGTGAGAATACAAAGATGGACAAGGCAGGGTCCTTGTTCTCAAGGAGCTCACAATCTATTAGGGGAGACAAATAGATAAACAAATAAGTGAAACAGAATGTGGTGTGCTGTCACCAGGCGTGTGTAAAAAGACAGAGCCTCGACAAAGCATGGGAGGGTGCGTTCAGGACATTGCATTATGGGTCTGGGGTAGAGGAATGGTACGCTTAGATTTGGGTTTTAGAAAGATCACAGCAGGCTGCAGGGTGAATTGGAGTGAGGCCTGTCTAGTTGGAAAACCAGTGAGAAGGTAAATGCTCAGTGGGAAAGACAGCCGAGTTGGAGCTGCAAGGCTGCCCCTCTGGCACTGCGGACAGGAGCTGTGCCTTCTGAGCCCTAGAAGTCTTGCCAAGTCCTAGCATTGCCTTAGCAACAATCCCATTATTACACCTCAACTTTCCCTTTGGTCATTTTGAGGTCCTGAGGACTTCTGTTTTCTTCTCATTGCTACTGGTAACCAGAGCTTTGACAATAAGGGCTGGACAGTGGCCCTGCTGTGAGAAGAGAGAAAAGGAACGGGGCTGAGGGAAGGACGAGAGACAAGATCCAGAGGGTGCTGCTCCCTTGGGAGTGAGTTCTGGGTGGGAATTGTTGGGGGAAGTTTCCATGAGGCTCCCGGATGCTTGGGAGCTGGGGAGGATACAATGAAAGGAGGCAGGAGAACAGAATACCCAGATGGGGCGTGGAGAGGAATGTCCTCACATTTGTCACAGAGCAACCCTATGTGGCCCTTCAGGCCAGATTTTATATTATAACAGTAGTAATAATAGCAATACATTGCATAGCTCTAAACACTTTAGGTATATTAGCTGGTTTAATGATCATAACTCTGTGAAGAAACTGAAGCTCAGAGATGTTAATTACTGTCTAAGGTAGACCGAGTAAGGAGTAGAGAAGGCTTTGCACCTAGGAAGCTGGCTCCAGGATCCATGTGCTTAGCACTGAGCTGTCTCCCAAACTGTTGGTAAGAGAGGACGTGCATCCATAAACCCTGGATTATGTGTTTCTTTGTCCCAGCAATTCTAATCTGTTCCATCTCTATGTTTGGTTTAAGATAGAGAAGGCGAGGGAAGGATATTGTCTTGGTGCCTGTGAATTCCAGGTGAGAAGGAATGAGGGAGGAGGGAGAGCCCCAGGGGCTGAAGGGTTCTGGGATGGCTGACATGCTGGCTGGACTTGGGAGGACGAACTGACCCGCATTTGAGGGAATGCTGTCTTATTAGATCTGAAGGCGATGCTATTGGATCTGGGTCTTTCCTCATCAGCCCACTCCTGGAAATGGTGGGCAGCTGGAGCCAAGATGACAAAGGGGAAGATTAGAGGCAACTGAGACCTAAGTCCTGGACCTGGAAGGTGAAAAGGTGAGTCTTGTTTGAAACTGCGTCTCCCGGGCCCGCTTCAGGGCCTGAGCTTTCAGCCAGAGTTGTGGGCACACACTTTATTTTTAAAGGTAAAACATTGATTGTTCTGGAGACAAGAAACTCACCTTAGCTGTGAACTAATGCCCCAGTTGAGATAGGGATCAGTGTCTCCGTGCCTTTCTAACCCCTGGGCAATGTTTTATAGAAATTACCTGTACCACCGGTTGCTATAGTTACCTCTTGTCTAGGCTTCAAGAGGAGAAATATCTAACCAGGCCTGTTAGCAGGAGAGAAATAGGTGCTGAGGTCTGACAAACAAGAGTAGGACATGCAGAAAAATCTTTATCCACACGGCATCAAGTTTTAGAGTATCTACCCTATTCACAAGCTGGTGATCGTGCATCTCCACCTCCCCTTTGTATGGGCATCAGCCCAGTTCACAGGGGTGAGCCTGGCACAGCCATGTTTGAAATAGGTGACCACATTACCATGGTTGTAACTATTTGGACCATGGTGAACACCTGACTCAAGCTTGGACAGCCAGATTCTCTCGCCTGCAAATTGGGCTGAAGTTTCCCAGCCAGTCTGTCTGGATAAATGGCAGGCCCTGTGCTATGTAGGCATGGAAGCCTAGGGCCTGTTTTCTATCCTGTAGAACAGAAAGCAGGTGTGTGGAGGGAGAGTAAGCCTACTTGCAGAGGGAGCAGAGAGGAGGGGAGAAGATCTTGAGAGGTTTGCAGTTCTTGGCGCTTATTGAGGCATGATTGCACTCCTGCCTTAGTTTTTTCTTTCTTTCTTTTGATGACGATTGTTGCTATTATTAGCCCTCAGTGGCATGAATTACTTTGTGTTACTTGTCACTAAAAACTTATACTCTGCTCTAAAATTGTTATGGGCTGAGGGGTGTGTGTGTGTGTGTGTGCTTGTTCATACGTTGAAGTCCTAACCCCAGGACCTCAGAATGTGACTGTAGTTGGAGACAAGGTCTTTAAACAGGCAATTTGTTTAAAATGAGGTCATTAGGGTGGGCCCTAATCCAGTGTGACTGGTGTCCTTATAAGAGGAGGAGATGAGGACACAGACACACACAGAGGGAAGACCACGTGAGGACCCAGGGAGAAGGCTAGCCATCTACAAGCCAAAGAGGAGGCCTTCAGGAGAAACTGAACTTTCTGATACTTTGACCTTGAACTTGCAGCCTCCAGAACTGTGAGAAAATAAGCTTCTGTTGTTGGCATCACCCAGTCTGTGGTGCTTTGTTACAGTGGTCCTAGCAAACCACACAACCGCTCTGCGAGATGCGAGCTCTAACTCGCCCTCCCTCTGCCCCTGACAAAGCAAACGCAGTCGTAGAGGAACTGTGGGTTCTTTTCTTAATGGTGATCCTTAAAGACAACAACAAAAAGATCTTTCACCTTGGTTAGATAGTAAGCCAATAACTGGCATTCAAGAACCCTAAAGGAGTACAGCTCTCGAGAAATACATCTCCTTAACGCTCTTGTTTGGCTTAAATTGAAAGTGTTCAGCTTCATGTCTTCCCAAGGAGAGATACCTGCTAAGCTTTAATTTTACATGGGAAAATGATTGTTTTTTCTAATTGGAATGAAGAGGGACTCTTTCTTCAATTTGTTTAAACCTTGGTGAGAACAAGGCCAGCCACTTTGCAGCAGGTCCCAGGGCCTGCAGATTCTTCCCATTGCCCTTGAGTTCTGAGGTCAGTGTACGAAAAGGCTTTTCCAGCAATTATCATCACATTAGAGAATTACGTAGAGAAAACTATTCAGGTCTTGGTCTTAATCAGGACAAAGTCTTTAGGAAAATGCTGTTGAGATTTCAAAAAAAAATAAATGAGAGGAGAGGGGAAGGTCAAGGGTGGATAGAAGAAGCAAAAAGGTGTTGATTTAGCTGAACTACAGTGGCGTTTGAAAGGTCCCTGAGCAGAGACAAGGTGCAGAGGACACGGGAATAGCTTGTAGGCTCAGAAACACAGCGTGTGCTACTAGAAACAGGCACTGAAAGAATCCTGGCCTTTGTATGTGTGCCCCGAGGCGGTTTCTCTGGAAGGGAGGGGAGAGAGAGGTGGGACTTCAGGGCATTTTGTGATGTCCTTGTGTTTCTGTGGGGTAGCATTGGGTACTACTGGAATAGACATGGCAAATAAGTTTCAACTCATACGCAGCCCTGAATATTTGGAACATTATCTCCCTACGGGGCCGTGTTGAGATCGATTCTGAGGGTGCTTTCTGATTTGGTGGGAGAGGGTGTCAATCAGGGATGATGAATCAATACCTGAATGCTGTGCACGTGTGCCACTCAGGACATCAAAAGTCACAAACTGATGGCCTGAGGGACAATGGGGCCTGTGACAGGTTTTGTTCGGCCCAGGTGGTTTCCTAAAATAAAAAAATCTGAGCTAGACCTTTAAAAGTGGACAGATTTAAATTTTTTTAAAATCACATTTTCAACTTCTCTTAAAAAATCGTAAACCTCAGCAATACTGCTTATCCCACATGACGACAGGATGGAGCTGGGCGTGGCTCAGTTCAAGCCTGGCCCCCCGGGACGTCAGAGCGTGTGAGCCCAGGCTACTTATGGCCTTCTCTGGACTCAGGGATCGTGTGGCTGCAGACTGAGGAAGTGGTCAGCAGATGACGTCGCAAGTCAGAAAGGACTGAAACGTCAAGACCGTTCCGGCCTAAGAGGCAGAGAAGAGGGCAGGCGAGTGTGGCAAAGGCGGTAGGTCGCTCAGACGGTGTGTGAGACCAAGACCATGCACCACAGCATTTCCAGATAAGCGGTGAATGCGGTCTTTTCGGGAGGGGTGGGCAGCCTGAGGTTCTGCAAGGATGGAGCTATGACTGGCGAAAGCTGAACCCTGAAGTCTTCCTAATGGTCTACTGCGCTACTTCTGGGCATCACCTTTTATGGGTTGGGAATGAGACATTTCATCAAACTACCAGTTTATCTTTTTAGAAATTTTTAATGGAGTCAGCAGTACAGATGATCCCGCTCCTCTGAACCCCAGAGCCGCGCATCCAGCTGTCAACTTGCCATCCTCACTGTGTCAAAGGTACTTCAAACCTGAGTGTCCAAAACGAGACATACTTCCCTCCCAAATCCGGTCCTTTCTGGTGTCTATCTCAGGGAGTAGCACCTCCCTTCCTTCAGCTATGAAAACCGGGGACCTCTTGCTCGTTACCTGCCTCCTCGCCGTCTCTTGTCCAATCATTATGAAGCCCTAGTAATTTTCCCCGTAAACATCTGTTGACTCTGACCCCTTCTCTTTGGCTCTACTGCTCTCAGAGTCCTCACTTCCATCGCTTTTTGCCAAAACCATGGGAAGTTCTCCTAAACTCGTCTCTCACACCCTCTCACCACGCTCCAAATTTCCCTTCACACGGCGGCCACAGCCAGCTTTACAAAAGCGAATCCATCACGTCTCCTGCTTCAAACAGTCCAACAGCCTCCTGTCGTTCTCAGGATGCAAGCCTGCTTTCCTCTGCACACACTTGCATCCTCAAAGGCTCGGCATTTGCTCCTTACATGGCTTGTCGTCTTCCCCTTCCTCTTCCTTAGAAAATCAATCTTCGTAGGAAAGCAAGTCACTCCAGCTCCCCGCCCACGGCGTGACTGGGTACACGCTTCTCTAAGGGATGAAAAATGGACACAAGTCATTCTGCTTCTCTTTGGGTAGCGTTGATTTTTAGCTTCTTCTTTCAGTACTTGCTGCGACGGCTGCAGTCAATTCCAGACGTTTCCTGCTGCTTAAATGTCAGCAGCTCATCTTCACTTCCAGCTGCTGGACGAGTAATTGTTTCACGTGCTTGAACTGAATAGTGATCAAGTAGCCTGGGGCCAATTTGAGAGTCAGCTTTCCAGTCCTCCTGGAAGCAAATTTTAGACACGTCTTGTTTTGGTCATCTCAGCTTCAGAGGTCCGGCTTCCTCCGAGTTGACTTTTTTGCTTGTCTTGGGAGGTCAGATCCTGAACCCTGAGGAGCCATTCCGCGCTGATTAGGAGAAGTGGATGACAGTCTGTGAGGTGCTCTGTCCAATAGGGTAGTCACTCGCTGTATGTGGCTATTTAAATTTATTAAAATTAAATGGAATAAAAAATTTAGTTCACAGCTGCAGTAGGCACATTTCAAAGCCCAATACGCACATGTGGCCAGCAGCTGCCATATTGGACAGCGAACTCACAGGGTATCGTTGCAGAAAGTTCTCCGGGACAGCATGCTCTGGGGTTTCCCACAGAGGGAGTCCTCGCTGGACAATGTGGTACACCTACAGCAACACGTTTTCTTTCAATTAAAAAGAATCAGTCTCCTCTTATTTTAAGTGACAGTTGCTGTCATTTTGCTGTCATGGAAAGTGAATCCGTGGTCACTTGTTCTGGAGAGGAAGAAGCAGGTCAAAGGGCCACTGAATTTGGAGAGGGAGCTCCCTCTAAAGGTCCTAGGGGGATAGGGGGAGGGGGGTTTGGGTGGTTTTTTACCCCTCTAACATGCTGGCTCCCATGTGGACACACACAGGATCATCATGTGATTTGTGTCCACAGGAAAACTCAGTGCAGGGCTCTTTTCACTTTGCCATAGGATTGGGCTGACGGTTAAGGAGGAAAAGGAACAGTCATCCTACTGGGAATACGACAACTAAATGTGTAGCATGTGGCACCTTCCAAAAATTCCTGCCTCTGTCACAGCACCTCCATTCATTTCCTGAAGTACTTTTTACTTGTAAGTTGCTTTCACATCTACACTCTCATTTTGTTGCCGTTTTTCCCCTTTTGTTTTCCTTCTGAGGCTGTAGAAAAGGGGGCAATTCTATTTTGGTGATTGGTGCAGGCAGGTGATTAGATTACGTTGTAGTGCAGCTGAATGATTGCTCTGGTCTTCCTGAGATTAGTAAGGAGAATAGTAACAGCCAATGTTTATTAAGTGTTTTCTCGGTTCCAGGCTTTGTGCTAAGGGCTGTAGATGGTTGATCTCTTTCAGCACTTCA